GGTGACAGAGTGACACTTCGTCTCAAAAAAAAAAAAAAAAAAAAAAGTGGGCAAAGGACATGAATAGACATTTCTCAAAAGAAGACAGAACGATGGTGAACAGGTATATGAAAAAGTGCTAAACATCACTCATCATCAGGGAAATGCAAATCAAATCCACAATAAGATATAAGCTTCCCCAGTCAGAATGGCTATTAAAAAGACAATAACAGATACTAGTGAGGACGCAGAGAAAAGAGAGCTCTTACACACTATTGGTAGGAATATAAACTATGAAAAAATACTATGAAATGCGGCTACTGTGAAAAACAGTATCGAGATTTCTCAGAAAATTAAAAATAGAATTATCATTTGATCCAGCAATCCTCTAATGGTTATCTACCCAAAGGAAAAGAAATTAATATATCAAAGTAATACCTGCACTTCCATGATTATTCCATCAGTATTCACAATAGCGAGGATATGGAATCAACCCTAAGGGTCCATCAGTGGATGAATGGATAAAGAAAAAGTAGCATATATACACAATGGAATACTATACACCATAAAAAGAATGAGATCCTGTTATTTGCAGCAACATGGATGGAAATGAAGGTCATTATCTTAAGTGAAATAAGCCAGGCACAAGAAGACAAATATCACATATTCTCACTTATATGTGGGAGCAAAACATTTTGATCACATGCAGGTAGAGAGTAGAAAAATAGATGACAGAGACTGGGAAGGGTAAGTGGTGGGGAGATTGAAGAGGATGAAGAGAGGTGAGTTAAAAGGTACGAAGAAACAGTTAAATAGAAGGAATATATTAGTGTTTGATAGCAGACCACAGTTATTATACTTAACATAAATGTATTATACTCAGATGACAAATACCCTAAATACCCTGACTTGACCACTACTCATTATATACATGTAACAAAATTTAACATATACCTCACAAATATGTACAAATATTTAAAAGTAAACTATATCCTTGATCAGGCATGGTGGCTCACACCTGTTATCCTGGCACTTTGGGAGTCCAAGACCAGAAGTTCAAAACTAGCCTGGGCAACATAGTGAGACCTTGTTCTACAAAAAATTTTAAAAAATTATTCAGGCATGGTGACACACCCTATAGTCCCAGCTACTTGGGAGGAGTCCTAGTTACTGAGGTGGGAGGATCTCTTGAGCCTGAAAGGTAGAAGCTATAGTGAGCTATATGTCCAGCCTGGGCAACAGAGCAAGACCCTTTCTCAGAAAAAAAAAAAAGTAGACCAGATCCTTAATCACAATAGCTAAAATATGATATGGAATCAATGTAAGTGTTCATCAACAGATGAACAGATAAAGATAATTATGGTATGTGTACACAATGGAATACTATTCAGCCTTCTTCAAAAAGAAGGAAATTCTGTCATTTGTGACTAAGTGAATGAACCCAGAGGACATCATGCAAAGTGAAGTAAGCCAGACACAGAAAGACAAATACCAACTTACATGTGGAATCTAAAAAGTTGAACTCATAGAAGCAGAGAATAGAGTGAGTGGTAGGTAGTTGTGGAGAAGGCACTGAGGACATGTCTGAAGGATACAAAATTTCAACTAGACAGGAGGAATAAGTTCAAAAGATCTATTGTAAAACATGGTGACTGTATTTAATAACAATATATTCTTGGAACGATCCAAGATGGCCGATCGCTAACATCCCGGAATTGCAGCTCTCAGGGAAGGTGCGGAGAACTAGAGGACGCCACACTTTCAGACAAATTCTGGTCGCTCATGGAGCAGAAGATCCCCCAGTGGAGGAAACACACGGGTGGCCAGCGCGACTCTCATGGCTGGCCCAGCGGTTCCGCCGGCACTTCGGCGCAGCAGCTCTCGGAGCAGAGTAAACAGGTTCGGAGGACCTGCACAGGTCCCCAGCAGGACACCAGAGCCCGGCAGTGGCTGTGACGGCACCTCAGCGTGGCAGCACTTGGCGCAGAGTAAACAGGACCAGTTCCCCTTCTGACCGAGGTTTGGAGGTCCGGGAAGGCAGAGTCCCCTACTAAGGACACAAGAAGGAAGCCAGACAGGAGAATCCTGGGCAGAAAAGCACCATCAGTTTTAACGCCGCTGCTCTGGCCCTGGGAACTAACAACCTGGACGTCCACTCAAGAGACCTAATCTGAAAGTTGGTAATTTCAAAGACGACAGGAGGATAAATTTACAATGATGGGAAGAACCAGCGTAAAAAAGCTGAGAATACTCAAAGTCAGAACGTCTCTCTCTCTAAAGATGATCACAGTTCCACATCAACAATGGAACAAGGCTTGATGGAGAACGAGCGCATCCTGATGACAGAATCACTCTTCAAGGAATGGATAATAACAAACTTTGGTGAGTTAAAAGACCATGTTGTAGCCCAACGTAAAGAAACTAGGAACTTTGAAAAAAGGTTTGATGAACTCCTATTGAGAATAGACAACTTAGAGAGGAGTATGAGTGAAATAATGGAACTGAAGAATACAATACAGGAACTCCGAGAAGTATGCACAGGTTTAAACACTCGAATTGTTCAAGCAGAATAAGGGATATCAGAGGTCAAAATCCAACTTAATGAAATAAAACGTGAAGAAAAGATTAGAGAAAAAAGGATAAAAAGGAATGAGCAAAGTCTCCAAGAAATGTGGGACTATGTGAAAAGACCAAATTTACGTTTGATAGGTGTACCTGAATGTGACAGAGAGAATGAATCCAAGCTGGAAAATACCCTTCAGGATATTATTCAGGAAAATTTTCCTAAACTAGCAAAGCAGGTCAACATTCAACCCCAGGTAATACAGAGAACACCACAAAGATATTCCTCAAGAAGAGCAACCCCAAGGCACATAATCGTTAGATTCACCGGGGTTGAAACGAAGGAGAAAATACTAAGGGCAGCCAGAGAGAAAGGTCAGGTTACCCACAAAGGCAAGCCTATCAGACTTATAGCAGATCTCTCAGCAGAAACTCTACAAGCCAGAAGAGAGTGGGGGCCAATATTCAACATTCTCAAAGAACAGAACCTTCAGCCCAGAATTTCATATCCAGTCAAACTAAACTTCACAACTGAAGGAAAAATAAAATCTTTTATGAACAAGCAAGAACTCAGAGATTTTATTACCACCAGGCCTGCTTTACAAGAGCTTCTGAAAGAAGCATTACACACAGAAAGAAACAACCAGTATTAGCCTTTCTAAAAATACACCAAAAAGTAAAGAGCACCAACATAAAGAAGAATTTACACCAACGAATGGATAAAACAGCCAGTCAACATCAAATGGCAGTAACCCTAAATTTAAATTGACTAAATCCCCCAATCAAAAGACACAGCCAAAACCCAACGGCATGTTACATCCAGACCTGTTTCACATGCAAGAATACACAAAGACTCAAAACAAAGGGATGGAGAAAGATTTACCAACCAAATGGAAAGCAAAAATAAATAATAAATAAATAAAAAGCAGGAGTTGCAATTCTCGTATCGGATAAAATAGATTTTAAAGCAACAAAAATATAGTGGTAAAAGGATCAATGCAACAACAAGAGCTAACGATCCTAACACCCAGATACGAGACTTAGATTCAATGAGACAGAAAATTAATAAGGATATCAAGGACTCGAACTCAGATCCGGAACAAGTAAACTTAATAAATATTTATAGAGCTCTCCACTTCAAATACACAAAATATACAATTTAGGCAATACCACACCACACCTACCCATAAGTTTAAATGAAACATTGATTGGCCATTATTAATACCCAATTTTTTTCAAAATAAAGCAATATTTCCATTTACTCTCTTTCTTTTCCTCTTTCTTCCTCTCCTTTACTTATTTTTTTTTTCTTTCTTTCTCTCAAAAAAAAAAGAAATCAACTTGTAAACCTCTAGATCGAGGTCGGCAATGTCTCTCTCATTGCTTGATTCCCTTCCTTCCCTTCCCTCCCTCCCTCCCTCCCTCCCCGCTTCCTCCCTTCCTTCCTTCCTTCATCCCTTCCTTCCTCCCTACCGTCCTTCTTCTCTCCCTTCCTGCCTTCCTCCCCCCCCCAAAAAATAAAATAAAATAAAAATAAAAATAAAAATATATATATATTCTTGAAAATTGTTGAAAGAGGCTGGGCATGGTGGATCACACCTATAATCCCAGCACTTTGGGAGGCAAAGGCAAGAGGATCATTTGAGATCAGGAGTTCAAGACCACCCTGGCCAACATGGCGAAACCACATATCTACTGAAGATACAAAAATTAGCTGGGTGTGGTAGCTACTCAGGAAGCTGAGGCAGGAGAATCGCTTGAACCCCAGAAGTGGAGATTGCATTGAGCTGAGATTGTGCCACTGCACTCCAGCCTGGCTGACAGAGCAAGACTCTGTCTCAAAAACAACAACAACAAATTGTTAAGAGAGTAGTGTTCTCACCACAAAAAGTAATATGTGAGGTAATACAAATGTTAATTAGCTAAATTTAGCCATTTCACAATGTATTACATATATCAAAACAATATGCTGTATGCGATAAATTATATATTTTTGTCAATTAAACAATAATAAAATCATAGACCATATTCATTCACTGTAAGATAAACATCCATTGTGTCAGAGTGTCAGGACATGTAGATCAGGTGGAACAAATATAAAATGGCCTATCAGAGAGCATAGAATAAGAACAGGTCCACCAAGGAAGGAACAGACTTTGGAATGTGAAAACTTAAATTTCAAGGGGACAGAGACTTAATAGAGCACCTGAATACCTCTCATGTTATATTGATATATTTATGTGTGTGTGTATATATACACACACACACACACACACACACATATACACACAAATGCGATTTTTATATATAAGATAATTTAAATTTTTATGTTTCCCTTTTGTATGTTTTAGACTCTGATTTGGTCAATTGAACACTTGACCTAATGATAAAATATTACAGTAAATGTTCTTGCTGAATTTCTTCTTGTTCAACTTTTCTTTTATGTGCTTTTGTTTTAGCAAACAAAGATCACAAGGAAAAACATTCTCAGATGAGAGACTTTAGAGCACCTCAGTTTTCTAACTCTGAAAATGGTAAGAAATAATCATTTCACTCTCTATATAAATGATTCTTTAAAATTCTTCAATTTTCATTTAATATTTATTTCCTTAACATTAGAAACTGTCTCAGTCTCTACATAAGAATGCAATGATGTGTCTCTACTTTGTAGCATATCACAATGGAAATTAAATCTTTGTTCTGTATGTTTGGGCCCTATCAGAATGTATCTATATAACCAGGACAGCTAGGGCTGTGTCCTTTTTTCTTTCCTGTATCTCGACCATCAGCAGTATAGGCACTGAGTAGATATTTGTTGAATGAATGAATGAATGCAATTTTTTGTATTATCAGTGTCATTAGATACTAGCAAAATAGTAAATGTCATTCAACATTAAATAAATTAAAATCACTATTTAAGAAACAAAAGTATATCTCCAACATTCTGGTTTTCTTATCTCTATAATGAGGATCCACGCCTGTAATCCCAGCACTTTGGGAGGCCGAGGCAGGTGGATCACGAGGTCAAGAGATTGAGACCATCTGGTCAACATGGTGAAACCCCGTCTCTACTAAAAATACAAAAAAAAAAAAAAAAATTAGCTGGGCATGGTGGCGCATGCCTGTAATTCCAGCTACTCAGAAGGCTGAGGCAGAATTGCCTGAACCCAGGAGGTGGAGGTTGCGGTGAGCCAAGATCGTACCATTGCACTCCAGCCTGGGTAACAAGAGCGAAACTCCATCTCAAAAAAAAAAAAAAGAGGATCAAGAGTAAATTAAGGTACTTTCTAAGCATTAAATAACTACCTCGAATATCTTTCTCAAGCAATTTGGCTGTCAGTATTTTCTCCTAGTGTGTCATCTGTCTTGTGACTTTGTTTCTTTAAATTTTTTAAAGTTAAAAATGTTTTAAAGTTTTAAATACAGTCAAATTTGTTAACTTTTCTTTTATTGGATCTGGACTTTAGTCATAGTCAGAAAGCTTTTCCTAAACCCAGATTATAAAAGAATTCTCTTATGCTTTCTTCTGGTATTTATATATAGTATTATTTTTTGCATTTAGATCTTGAATTCATTTGAAGTTAATTCATGTGTACAGTGTTAGCAACGGATCAAATGTTATCCCCTGCTTTTTTTTCCCCCAAATGGCTATCATATATATATATATATGATATATGATATATTATATATATATGGTTTTTTTTTTTTTTCTGAGACAGTCTCGCTCTGTCACCCAGGCTGGAGATCAGTGGCATGATCTCAGCTCACTGCAAATTTTGCCTTCTGGGTTCAAGCAATTCTTTTGTCTCAGCCTCCCAAATAGCTGGGATTACAGGTGTGTGCCACCACACCCAGCTTTTTAAAAATATTTTTAGTAGAGACAGGATTTTGTCATGTTGGCCAGGCTGGTTTCAAACTTCTGACCTCAAGTGATCCGCCCACCTTGGCTTCCCAAGGTGCTAGGATTACAGGCATGAGCCGCCTCGCCCAACCCTTTAGATATATTTTTAAAATGCTATCTTTGTCCTAGTAATTTGAGGTAACATCTTATATACTACATTTCTGTTTCCACATGGTTGTATTTCTAGACTTTCTTTATATTTCATTGGTGTGTGCATGCAACAGTGCCCCATTGTTTTTTTGTTTGTTTTTTGAGATGGGGTTTTGCTCTTGTTGCCCAGGATGGAGTGTAGTGGCGCGATCTTGGCTCACTGCAGCCTTTGCCTCCCGGGTTCAAGTGATTCTCCTGCATCAGCCTCCCAAGTAGCTCTGATTACAGGCTGAGACACGCCTGGCTAATTTTATATTTTTAATAGAAGCAGGGTTTCACCATGTTGAACAGGCTGATCTTGAACTCCTGGCCTCAAGTGATCTGCCCACCTCTGCCTCCCAAAGTGCTGGAATTACAGGCATGAGCCACCTTGCCCGGCCCACATAGTTTTAATTATAGAAACTTTCTTGTTGTTTTAATATCTAGTAAGGCTAGAATCCCCCATTTTTAAAATATTATTTTCTTAGCTATTTTTGCCTGTTTATTTTTCAATGTGAATGTAAAATTGTGGAGCTTTCTTAAAAAGCTCATTGATACTTTTATTGTAATCACATTAAATGTGAAAACTGACAGGTTGATCGTGTTGAGACATCCTAATGAAAAACAAGGGACATCTTTCCATTTGTTAAAGTTTACTTGTATATCTTTCAGAGATTTTTTTTTTGTACAGGTTTTGGAACATTTCCTGTTAAGTTTATTTCTATGTATTTTATCTTTCTGGTTGCTATTGTAAATGGGTTTCTTTCCCCATTATATATTTTCATTGGTTATTATTTTATAGATATGAATGCTATTCACTTTTGCATATTAGTTTTATATCCTGGTATATAGCTGAATTCTTTTATTATTTGAGTTATATCATTTGATAATAGAGATCATCTTTTTCTTTATTCTTACCAAAGCATAGATTTCTCCTATGTAATTACATTGGGTACTATCTTCAGAACAATGTTAGCTAGTAGTGAACATTTCCTGGCTTTAGTGGAAATGCCTATAATATTTCTGAACTAAAATGCTGGCTTTGGACCAAGATATATTTCATGATGTTAAAGAAGTATCCATACGTACTTATTTTCTCAAGATTTTTTATTAGGAATGGTTGTTGTTGTTGTTGTTCTTGTTTTGAGTCTCACTGTGTCACCCAGGCCGGAGTGCAGTGGTGTGATCTTGGCTCACTGCAACCTTTGTCTCCTGGGTTCAAGCGATTCTCGTACCTCAGCCTCCCAAGTAGCTGGGATTACAGCTGCATACCACCACACCCGGCTAATAGTTGTTGAATATTGTTGGCAGCTTTTTCAGTTATCTATGCCAGCAATTACTTGCTTTTCCTTATTAAATATATTAATATGATGAACTATAATAAAAGGTTTCCTGATATTATATCATTTTTGCATTCGAGTTGTAGTCCAGCTTTGTCATTTTATATTACTTCGCTTGCTAATATTTTACTACTATATTTGCATTCTTTTTTTTTTTTTTGGGAGATGGAGTTTCAATCTTGTTGCTCAGGCTGGAATGCAAGGCGCGTTCTTGGCTCACTGCAACCTCCATCTCCCAGGTTCGAGCAATTCTCCTGCCTCAGCCTCCTGAGTAGCTGGGATTACAGGTGCATGCCACCATGCCTGGCAAATTTTGTATTTTTAATAGAGACAGGGTTTTACCATATTGGTCAGGCTGGTCTCAAACTCCTGACTTCAGGTGATCCACCCGCCTTAGCCTCCCAAAGTGCTGGGATTACAGGTGTGAGCCACCACGCCCAGCTCTTTTTGCATTCTTTTTTTTTTGAGATGGAGTCTCTCTCTGTCACCCAGGCTGGAGTGCAGTGGCATGATATCTGCTCACTGCAGCCTCCACCTCGTAAGTTCAAGCAATTCTTCCTGCCTTGGCTTCCTGAGTAGGTGGGATTACAGGCACCAGCCACCACACCTGGCTATTTTTTTTTTTTTTAAGTAGAGACGGAGTTTTGCCATATTGGCCATGCTGATCTTGAACTCTTGACCTCAGGTGATCTGCCTGCCTTGGCCTCTCAAAATGCTGCGATTACTTACAGGTGTGAGCCACTGCGCCCAGCCTCTTATTCATGTCTTAATCTATGAAAATGTCTAGGTCTGGTGCTTTCTTGTGTGTATGTGTTTTTTTCTCTCTGTATATAGAAATTAGTCTGTTTAAGCTTTTAATCTGTACTGGGATTTATTTTAGTAAATTATATAAGAAATTATTCAGTCTCTAGACTTCTAAATTTATTTGCAATAGAGCTGTATAAAATTTCTTTTAATTTTTAACAGCTTTATTTAGGTATAATTACCATAAATTTCATGCATTCTAAGTATAACAGTTCATAATTTTTAGTAAATTTAGATTATGCAACCATTACCACAATTGGATATTAGAATGTTTCCATTGCCCCCAAATTATTCTCTCACACTTGTTTTAATCTGATTCACTCCAAGCCAGTAATTAATTAGTAATCTGTTTTTGTCTCTATAAATTTGCCTTTTCTAGACATTTAATATACATGAAGCCAGGCAAAAAGGTAGTCCTTTATTTCTGGCACCTTCCACTTAATGTTTTTTAGTCATCCATGTTGTATATATCAGTAGTATATTACTTTTTGTTGAGCAATAGTATTCAATCATTGTATGGATATACCATCTTATGTTTACTTAACAGTAGATGGACATTTAGATTGTTTATAATTTTTGGCTATTAGAATACCACCACTGGACATTCATGTACTTCTCTTTGTGTGGGCATATGTTGTCTTTTCCCTTGGTTAGATTCCCAGGAGTGGAATTGTGAGGCAGTACGGTAAATTTAACTTCTTAAGGAACTGCCAAACTTTTTCCAACATAATTGCACCATTTTATTTCCATCTGCAAAGTGTAAGGGTTCTAATTTCTCCACATCTTTACCAACATTTGGTATTATCTATATTTTATTTTTTTGAGATGGAGTCTCACTCTGTCACCCAGGCTGGAGTGCACTGGCACCATCTCAGCTCACTGCACCCTCCACCTCCTGGGTTCAAGTGATTGAGTCTCCTGCCTCAGCCTCCTGAGTAGCTGGGATTATAGGCATGCACCACCATGCCCAGCTAATTTTTGTATTTTTAGTAGAGAAGGGGTTTCACCATATTGGCCAGGCTGATCTTGAACTCCTGACCTTAAGTTATCCACTTGCCATGGCCTCCCAAAGTTCTGGAATGACAGGTGTCAGCCATCAGCCACTATGTGCAGTATATTTTAATTAATAGGTATTCTAGAGCTTTTTTTTAAAAAAATTTTTTTTTGAGATGGAGTTTTGCTCTTGTTGCCCAGGCCTGAGTGCAATGGCGTAATCTCAGCTCACTGCAACCTCCGCCTCCCAGGTTCAAGTGATTCTCCAGCCTTGCCTCCTGAGTAGCTGGAATTACAGGCATGACCCACCATGCCTGGCTAATTTTGTATTTTTAGTACAGACAGGGTCTCGCCATGTTGGCCAAGCTGGTCTCAAATTCCTGACCTTAGGTGATCCATCTACCTCAACCTCCCAAAGTGCTGGGATTACAGGTGTGAGTCACCATGCATGGCTATTCTAGTGCTTTTAATTTGTAGCTTCAATTTCCATTTCTTCAGTGACTGATGGTGTTGAGACTCTTTTCATGTGCTATTGGCCATTCATATATCTTCCTTGTTGACAAATCTAATGCCCATTATTAAATTGGGGTTTATCTTATTAAGTTGTAAGAGATTACATATTTTTTGATAAAGTCCTTTATCAGATATATGACTTGTAAATATTTATTCCCAATCTTTTTATTTTCTCAGTTTTGCCTTTGGAAGCACAAAATTCTTTATATTTTATAAGTCCAGTTTGTTATTTTTTTCTTCTTCCAGCTGATTGCTCTATTGAGTTCAGCAATGCCCTGGAGCATAAATTACTCCATGTAATACACCAATCAAATTTGGACTCATTTGAAGAAATAGTTCTCAAGGTCACTGAAATTTGTGATGACCCCAGCTGGCTTTTTTTCCTGGTTCCTTCAGGCAAAGTAGCTGGCCTACAGTTTAGCCTACATGTTTAATGACACTATGAGTCTTCTCCCAGTTGCCTTTTTGTGACAACCTCCACCGTTTTGAGAGCATCCTTAGGGTTGAACTTCCTACACTCTGTTGTAAATGAAGTCAGCGCCTTTGGAAAGGGATTAGGAACTATCTGTTTTATGGTCTGCTTCTCCCTCACTCCCTGCAAGGAAAATCTCTCAGTCAGAGCTTCAGCTGGGAGTGGGGACAATGGCATGCTACTTTCTGTGTGTCATCCTTGCTCTAAGAGATGAGTGCTAGGTAAGGAGAGTGACAGTAGCCTTAGGTCTTCTTGGCTTGCCTTTCTTCATGAAACCACCACTTTACTAGCAGGGTCAAGTGGTCATGGGCCCTATATTCTCAGGACACCACACCAAACTCGGACTTCCCAACCCATAAATGGGAGCTGGGGAGGAGATGGGAGCCTCTATCATCTACTGACTGCACTCACCTCAGCAACAGGTAACTGGGGACAGGATGTGAAATGCTGGCATCCTACTCCTCCTAGGATGCTAGCCCTTGACTGATAGCTGGAAGGAGAAGGAGCCCTGTGTTCTGGCTGTACCAGACAGGAGTGGAATCTCCATCTTGCTAAGTTGGGAAGTGGGAGGATGGGAGTGGTCCTCAGTTCAAATACCACAAACTCTTGCTGTTTTTCCTAAGTTACAGATTTTCTTAAGTAAAAATTTATTCATTTGCTCCATGTCCCTGGGACCAGTTCCAGAGACTTAATGCTTGTTTCTTTTGAAAAATAATTTTCACCAATTATGCTGGGGTGCAGGTCCATGAAGCCCCTCCCTTTCATTTTTATTGATAAAAGTGTTTATGATTTTTCCTTTGTTTATGCCATTTAAGTATTCCATTGTCAAAAGGTAAAATTAAAACAAATTTAAAGACCTTAATTGGCTTTTACTTGCAATTCTAGAATCAGGCAGCACCCCATTCTGTAAAATATGAGTGTTCTGAGGAGGTTGGTTTTACAGACAGAAAAGGATGGAGGAAAGCAGAAACAGAAAACAAAAAGTGGATTGATCATTGCAAAGTTACTTTTCTTGTAACAGTTAAAGCAGAGGGGACTTCCTTATCATGCCAGCTAGGACTGGTTTAGGGACTTGGCTATGATGTCTCTCTCCAGATTTCTTGAAAGGCCAGATAACTTAGCTTTCGTTTGGTGATGTGGAACTTAGCATGATTGACCCCATTTTGGTTTGATTTGTTGGGTCTAGTACAGGAGCTCAGTCCAAAACAATGGTCTTCTATACATTTTACTTACCAACATGGATTATGATATAAAATATTTCCCTCATCATTATTTTTCAGAAAGTCCATTCCTTTTTCAACTAAGAGTTGCTTAGTAGTTTTTAAAATTTACAGATGGAAGAACCTATTTGTTTTGATAGTTTAATTTTAGAATTGTCTTTTTATTGCATATGATCCGAGCATGTTGTATGTAATGTTCCTACCTTAAGGACACAATGATTTTTTGTGTGTGCCTTAGTATAATCAACTTTTGTACATTTTCAATGTGTGCTTAAGAAGAATGTGTCTGTTCCCAAGGTTGGTGTATATCCAAAATAATTACATTACTGATTATGCTCTTTAATCTGTTGTCCTCTTGGCCTGTTTTTTAGTCAGAATGGTATGTTAAAGTCTCATATTATTAATTTGTTTCTATGTCTTTTTGCATCTCCTTTAGTTTCTGACTTAGGTCGTAGCTTAATTGTTTCATAGATAGCTATTCATAACTTACATCTTCATTGTGAAATGTGGCCATTTTGGCCTAAATCCTGCCTAATTAGAAATAGTTTCACATAAATTTGCAGTCAGTTTAGTTGTTCACTTAAAATTATGTTAATACAGTATAAAAACAGTGAAACAAATTTGATTTGTCCTATGCCTTACTCTCATTTCCTAAAATCTAAAAAGACTTTGTTTTTATTTATGCTCAGTATTCGCAAAAGATCTACCTGTGGATTCACTGGAAGGAGAAGATTTTGAGAAGGAATTCTCATTTCTGAACAACCTCCTAAGTTCTGGTTCTTCAAGTACTAGTGAATTTACCCAAGAATGCCAGACTGCCTTTTGGAGCCCCAGTGCCAGTCTCACGTCCCAAGAGCCTTCCATGGGGTCTGAGCCACTCGTTCATTCTTCTCAATTCCTTCCTTCACAACTCTTTGACCTTGGCTTTCATGCGGCTGGAGCGTTCAACAGTAAGTGTCTATGAAACATTTGGTCACATGAGCTTTACTTTATGAGCAAAACTGTGTGCTTATTGATGCTAGAATCAACAAGATCGATTTTAATGTCAGCACTATTAGATAAAATCTGCAGTCCACCAGTCAACTGGAAAAACATTAGTCGCCGCTGGAATCTATAAACAGACTGAAGCAAGGGCTGCTTCCCTCCCACCTTCACCAGACCCCATGTTTTCTGCACTGATTTTCCCAGGTGTCTGGTTTAAAACACTTGACCTGCTAATTCCTCGTACCTAGGGCAGGCAATACTGTTTCTTCCATCAAGTAAAACTTGGTGCGTTCGGAGCTGACAAGATAAAGGAACAGCTCTGGAGGCTGGTTGCAGGACAGCCTTCTGGGCAAGGCAGCAGGAGAGAGTCCACCATCCTGTGTCCAATCCTGTACCTTGGGGGTCACTTTGTTTCCCACATCCATATTGGTTACCAAATCCTGTCAGTTCTGTTTCTGAAACCTGTCTCAAATGTCCCACTACTCTCTGCCTCTACACCAGAGCCATTTAGAGCCTCATTTGGTTTCCTAGGTTACTGTGAGTTTCTAACAGGTCTCCAACCCCCAGTTCACCCTCCACACTTCCGTGGAGTTCTCTCTCCAAGCAGCAGCTTCTGATGTCAGTACCGGCTTACACTTTTAAAAATGAAACACCATAGTTTCCAGGATAAAACCTGCCTATGTTGCATTTCCACCCATAATTCCTATCTCCTCTTAAAGTGAAGTAAGAATACTTGCCATTTTCTGCCATCACAATGAGCACTCCAGAACCCTCTGATATATCCATCTGTGCTTGTGTTGTTGCTTCTGCTTCTAATGTTCAGTAATGGAGCCTGGACATGGGCCTGAGTATTAGATCCCAATCCAGTGTTTCTTCCATGATTGTCGGTCCTTGAAGTCTTCCTCAGTGCTGCCAAATGGAAATGGTTTCTCCTTCCTCTGGCCTCCCATGGTGCTTTGCTTTATCTATTTTCATGGCTCTAATCCTACTTTTATCTTGCCTTACATCCCAGTCTCTCATATCCCAGTAGATTTTAACCCCTGTATGGGAGGGACCCCACAGGGCATCTAGCAGTGTCTTAATGCCTTGAACTTTGTATTAAATATTGACATACATACTTTATCTACAAACATCCCAAGGCATGATATGTGGAGTGAGTCATCTTTGTGCTATCTCTGACAGCAACATGCAGTTAGCTCGGTTAATAAACTAAATGTCAGCTGGGATTATGTCTGTAATCCCAGCACCTGGGGGAGGCCAAGGCAGGCGGATCTCCAGGTCAAGAGATCAAGACCATCCTGGCCAACATTGTGAAACCCCATCTCTACTAAAAATAGAAAAATTAGCTGGGTGTGGTGGCATGTGCCTGTAGTCCCAGCTACTTGGGAGACTGAGGCAGGAGAATCGCTTGAACCTAGGAGGCGGAGGTTGCAGTGAGCCGAGATCGCACCTGGAGATGCACTCCAGCCTGGAGACAGGGTGAGACTGTCTCAAAAAACAAAAAACCTAAATGTCAGTTAAATCACTCAGTAAGAATTTATTGAATAGACTGATAGCAAGAATGGACAATATTATTTGATAAAGAGGCACTCTATCTGGGATAATTCAGGTATTTTGCTACAGTAAAATCCTTAAAAATATTTATTCTCGTGTGGCATATCAATGGCTCAGTAGCTATAAAGATTTACAAACTAATTCATTCTCCACTATCACCTCCCTCTTCCTCCATAACTTGCCACGTCTCTAGCAGTGCTAAATGTTTAGTTTCTGGCAATGTAATATCAACAATATTTTTTCACCACTCAAAATATGTGCTCTGATCCCTACCTGCAGACAGACAGGATATTCCCATTTAGTAGCTGAAGCAGTTGAAACCCACAGTATTTGAGTAACTTGCTCAAGGTCATCAGTGTTTAGTTAAGGCAGGACCAAAATCTGCCTCCTGCTTCTTTGTACAGAACTCTACCAGTCTTTCCTTTATATCTACTTCCCTCATCTATGAAGTAGACCAGGAAAGTGAGCTTCCCTGAGAGCTAAAAGATCTGTGTTTGAGGAACCTTATCTACGTTGGACCTCAGATGATCTTTTCTATACAAGGAAGGGATTAGGCAGGATAATCTAAGTTCCTTTCTAGTGCTGTGCCTTAATCATAGCATAAATGGTTTTTCATGTTGTAGCAAACATTTCTCCATGTTCTTATATTCATGACGTGTTTTAATTACAAAGAATTGTCATTTTATACACAATAATCTACCTGATTCCTTATTGTATCTACTTGTTCATTAATACAGATAATACAGCAAAAAATAAAAATCATGCATGTACGTTTTCCTTCAGCTAAATTATTTCCTTAAGGTAAATTTCTGGGAATGGGATCACTGAGTCCAAGGGTATAAACATATTTATAAATTTCAACATTCCAATTATCAGGCCTGTTCCTTTTCTTCTTGACTCTTTAGAACTTTTTCCTATATATTCTGCATTTCAATTATTTTTTAAAAATCCCATGTATTTATTTCAAAACCACTTTGAAAAATGGAAGGAAGTCAGATAGAACTCTTTCTGAAACTAAGATGATTAAAATATAAGACTATAGATAAATTTTCAGTGTTTTATACCTCTTATACTATAGAATTTTACCCAGGTACAAAGACTGGAGGACTTACATATTTTTACCTTTTCTTGTTTTTTTGATGCTGCTTCCTATTTGATTAACAATGGACAATTTTTACTTCCTTTCTCTAGGCTGGGTCTCCCAAGAGGAATCAGAGTTTCGTCTTTCTGATAGCCAGCCAGTGCCTTCACAGAGTCCAAAGAAATTAACGAGATGTAAGTTATTTACATATTCTTTACCATTGCTTTAAGAATCAGTTGAATTCAAATAAATTTACAAAAGGATCACATTATATTGTTTTCACCTCACTGTCCAGAAAAATCATTTAATAATGAGTTATTATTCAAATGAAAGCTGTACTGCCTATCCCTCACTGTGAAAAGCATTGAATACAAATTGTGAGCTTGGGGCCAGGCGCAGTGGTTTATACCTGTAATCCCAGACTTTGGGAGGCTGAAGTGGGCGGACTGCCTCATGTTAGGAGTTGGAGACCAGCCTGGGCAATGTGGTGAAACCCTGTCTCTACTAAAATACAAAAACAAAAAAATTGCCAGGCGCGGCTGCTCACGCCTATAATCCCAACACTTTGGGAGGCTGAGGCAGGTGGATCACTTGAGGTCAGGAGTTTGAGATCAGCCTGGCCAACATGGTGAAACCCCATCTCTACTGAAAATACAAAAATTGGCCAGGCATGGTGGTGCACGCCTGTAATCCAAGCTACTCAGGAAGCTGAGGCGGGAGAATCACTTGAACCTGGGAGGCAGAGGTTACAGTGAGCCAAGATCATGCCACTGCACTCACTCCAGCCTGGGTAACAGAGCAAGACTCTTGTCTCCACCAAAAAAAAAAAAAAAAAGAAAGGGAAAGAAAAGAAATTGTGAGCTTGGCAAAGCATACTGCATTTTATACTGTAATCTTTTATAGTTTGTGTTAAGGTTTGTTGGTAATGAATATAAACTTAGGGATACAAGATGCTTTCTGATTATAAATGCCTGTTGACAAAGAATGCATTCAAGCACTTAAGTTGGTTACCATATTAACTATTTTTAAGTGTACAGTTCAGTAGTATTAAGCATGTTCATACTGCTATGAAACAGATCTTCAGAACTTTTCATCTTGTAAATCTGAAACTCTATACCCATTAAACAAGCACTTCTCCTAAGTCCGTAGTAACAACCATTCCACTTTGTCTGAGTTTGATTACTTTAGATACTTCATACAACTGGAATAATGCAGTATTCGGCTTTTTTGTGACTGGCATATTTCATTTAGCATAATGTCCTCAAGGTTCATCCTGTAGCAAGTGACTAGATTTCCTTCCTTTTTAAGACTGAATAATACTCCATTTGGTAGATATAACACAAGTAGTTATCTATTCATCCATGGATCACATTTTTTACAGCCTACTGAGATATAATTCACTCCCTCTACTGGTCTTCAATACTCTGCTATAAACAAGAGTTCTCTCTTATCCTCATTTATCTATTTATTATCAATATACATTCATATATTTTCTTTTTTTGTTGTTTTGTTTTCTTGGAGACAGTCGCCCAGGCTGGAGTGCAATGGCACATTCTCGGCTCACTGCATCCTCCCCCTCCCAGGTTCAAGCAATTCTCTGGCCTCATGCCTCCACTGCAGGTGTGCACCACCACACCTGGCTTATTTTTGTATTTTTAGTAGAGATGGGGTTTCACTGTGTTGGCCAGGCTGGTCTTGAACTCCTGACCTCAAGTGATCCACCCATCTCAGCCTCCCAAAGTGTGGGGGTTACAGGCGTGGACCTGGCCTGATTCTTATGTTTTCAGTGGTTTATAATCACCACTGAACTTACTGATTTTGGTGCTCACATTGTTCCTGTGTTGGCCAGTGGGAGCCCTTTCAGGCTGACTTCGGAATCCTTGTCATATCAATATTTTTAAATTTTGAAATAATTTCAGACTTATAGAAAGACTACAGAAATTAATACAAAATACTACTATAGATTCTTCACTTAGGTTTCCAAAATGTTACCATGTTTGCTTTACATTCATATTGTCTCTTCCTCACCCCCCATTATATCATACAAATTTCTTCTGAACTGAAATAGTTTAAATAGCAGACATGATGCCCCTTTGCCACTAACTGTTCATTGTCTGTTTCCTAAAAATCAGGAAATTCTTTTGCATAATTACAGTACTACAGTCAAAATGAGGAAATTAACGTTGCCATAGGACCATTATCTACTGTAGATCTTTTCAGAGTTTGTCAGTTATCCCACTAATGTCTCAATTTTGTTTTTAGTTTTTCATAGTCTAGGATCCAAGCCAGTATCACACACTGCATTTAGTTAAGTCTCTTTAGTCTCTTTTAATCTGGAACAGTTCCTCAAGCTTTATGTCTGATGACCTTGACATTTTTACAGTGTACAGGTCTGTTATTTTGAACATTCCTTGAATTTGGGTTTAGCTGATGTTTTTTTCATAATTAGACTGAGGTTATACATTTGGGCAGTGCCACCAGCGCAGGAATGGTGTTGTGCCTTCTTAGTAAATCCTATCAGGAGGTGCATGTCTACTTTTTTTCACACCTGGTGATGTTAACCTTGATCACTTGGTTATGGTGGTGTCTGCATGTTTCTCCACTACAAAGTTAGCACTGTGTTTTTCCCTTTGTAATTAGTATCTTGTGGGAAGTGTTTTGAAATATTATAAATTGTTTATTTTTACTGAAAGTTTTGCCCACTAATTTAGCATTTCCTGGTAATTCTTGCATGAAACATTTATTACTGTGGTTGCTGCCAAATGGTAATTTTCTATTTTCTAATTCCCTCTGTATTTACGAGTTAGTGTTCCTATATGGGAAAGCTTTCCCTTGTTCCCTACTTATTTACTTACTCATTGATATCTACCAGTATGGACTCCTGAAATCTATTTTATTCTTCCCAGTACTTTGAGGTCAGCCAGTAGGGGAATCCCTCAATTCCAAGCAAATCACAGATTTACACTGGCAGGTTCAGAATACAGTCATTCCTCAGGGATTCAGAGTACTTATAGTTATACTTTTTAAAAACCAGCTAAGGCCAGGCATGGTGGCTCATGCCTGTAATCCCAGTATTTTGGGAGACCCAGGCAGGCGGATTACTATGTCAGGAGTTCGAATAAAAATGTAAATATTAGCCGAATGTGGTGCTGCGCACCTGTAGTCCCAGCTATTCAGGAGGCTGAGGCAGGAGAATCGCTTGAAACCAGGAGGCAGAGGTTGCAGTGAGCCGAGATCATGCCATTGCACTCCACCGGGGGCAACAGAGTGAGACTTCATCTCAAAAAAGAAAAAAAAAACCAACCAGCTTAAAACAAGTTGTGCTTAATCATTTAAAACAGACACTATAAGTAAATTTCAGAAATGAACACAAAAAAGCAAAGGCACTATTACCTGTCATTCTTGAGGCTGATTTTTGAAGAGAAATTTAGGGAAAAAAGAAAAGCTCTCACCAAGAAGGTCCAAAAAAAATTTAAGAATTTTTTTTAAACCTAAGAATTCTAATAAAATTGAATTTTTTTTTTTGAGACAGAGTCATGCTCTGTCACCCAGGCTGGAGTGCAGTGGCACAATCTAGGTTCACTGCAACCTCCACCTCCCGGATTCAAGCAATTCTCCTGCCTCAGCCTGTTAAGTAGCTAGGACTACAGGCACACCATGATACCCAGGAGCAATAATTTTTGTATTTTTTAGTAGAAACGGATATTCACCATGTTATCCAGGCTGCTCTCAAACTCCTGACCTCAAGTGATCCACCTGCCTTGGCCTCCTAAAGTGCTGGGATTACAGAGGTGAATGACTATGTTAAAATCAAAAATTTTAACAACTTTAAAATTTTTTGGCCAGGCGCCTTGACTCATGCATGTAATTGCAGCACTTTGGGAGGCTGAGGCAGGTGAATCACAAGATCAGGAGTTCGAGACCAGCCTGGCCAAGATGGTGAAACCCCATCTCTACTAAAAAATACAAAAATTACCCGGTGCAGTTGCAGGTGCCTGCAATCCCAGCTATTCGAGAGGCTGAGGCACTTAAACCCGGGAGGTGGAGGTTGCAGTGATCCAAGATCGAGCTCCAGCCTGGGCAACCGAGAGACTCCATCTAAAACACACAAAAAATTATTTCATTAAGAGCCCCACTTCATTAGTCATTAAGGAAGTGCAAATTAAAAGGAAAATGTAATTCAAGACCTACCTACTACAATGGCTAAAATGAAACAAAAGAAAATTGACAAAAAGATGTTAAAGAACTAGCATCTCAAAAACTGCTTGTAAGAGTGTAAATAGGTAACAGCCATTTGGAAAACTGGCAGTTTCTACTAAACTGGAACATATATATACACGGTGACCAAATAATTCCACTTCTAAGTACATATCCAACAGAAACGCATCTATCCATTGATTAAAATATATGCTAACGAACGTTACTGTGATACTGTTAATAATACACCAGAATGCATTCCCTGGGGTTGGGGGTGTGAATAGTGACTGGAAGGGTGTCAGTCAAGGGTGCAATGCATGAGGGGAGCTTCAGAGGAGTGGACACATTCTATTTCTTTTTTTTGTTTTTTTATTTTTTTGAGATAGTGGCTCACTCTGTCATCCAGGGTGGAGTGCAGTGGCACAATCTTGGCACACTGCAACCTCTGCCTCCCTGGTTTAAGCAATTCTCCTGCCTCAGTCTCCTGAGTAGCTGGGATTACAGGTGTGCACCACCATGCCCAGCTTGTGTGTGTGTGTGTGTGTGTGTGTGTTTCTTTTTTTTTTTTTTTAGTACAGATGGGGTTTCACCATTTTGGCCAGGCTGGTCTCAAACTCCTGACCTCAGGTGATTTGCCAGCCTTGGCCTCCCAAAGTGGTTAAATTACCAGCATGAGCCACTGACCCAGCCACATTCTATTTCTTGATGTTGATATTGTTTATGAGAGTTATTTACTCTATGAAAATTATGCTTAATTTGGGGTTTTTCTCTCTGCATAGAATTCATTTTCTGCTTGTTAAAAGAATCTCTGGAGGCAGGAATAGTGTACCCAAGGAGAGCCCCTATAAAAGATGTAACTGACAGACCTTTATTTCCCATTGTGACCAATGAATATAAAACTGTCTTACATATGCATAATGCTATACAATATTTACATACTTTTCAGGACTCTTCAACAGCTGCATGAAGGAGGTCAGATATTATCTTAGTGACATCTATTCTTCTGGTATAATGACTAACAGTGACGCTATTTACCCTCAAGTATCCTGATTTAATGATGAATTGTATAGTTACTACTTTACAGATGAGGAGACAAGAGCCCTGAGGTTAAATGACTTGCCCAGTATTTCTCATTTAGTAGGTGTACCCCTAGGACTTAAAGCCATATTTTGTGTGGGTATCACTGATTCTACCTCAGGGTACTCAGAAACAGAACTGGACACACACTGAGTGAAGCCTTTCACTCTGCCCTGATCCTTGGGGCTTTGGGTCCCCACACCCCAAACCCCAGCCCTCTGGTGTGTGGTGAGTGTTACCATGATGTGTGAAAGAGGACTGCCCTTGGGACTGCGTTCCACCCTCCACCCAGTCACTCTGGACTCATGTCCAGTTCTTAGATTGTCCTCTGGGTCTCAACCCTGCTTTCTGGACTCGTTGGCTTTCAAGGTCCTAGACTTCTGAGATGACTGACTGTGTCACTGTGCATTCTTCTTCAGTCCCAGCCCTCTGCCCAAATGAACATTCTTGAATATCTGCCACAATGCAACTTGTAGAATCTAGAGAAATAAAATTTTCCATCTCCTTAAGGAGGTGTGAGGGATTTGATGAACAAGAAGCTGTACCTGAGATACAATGCATACTGTAAAAGACGTACATCAAAACATTTTAAAGTGCACATGGAAAAGACAAAACAACTGTAAACCAAAATGACATGTTGGGTGTGCTAATGTGGTAAGATTAGGCAGACTTTGTTCCTTTTGTAATACCACTTTTATAATAAACATAAATCAACTTGGAGCAGTGTTTACAAATGTCATTTCTTACTTGCTATGAACAAGTTTACTTTTAATTTTAAATCTTAGCTGAGTCTTCTATAAGTGATCTTAAATGTTCTATGAAGACTACAGTATTGCTTGCCTTTTCACTTTTAACTCAGTTCCTTTCTCAGAGCAGCATACAATTATTATTTAAATATAGGAGGCTCAGCAAAGCACAAGTTATCTGCATTTGCCTTTCAACATTATCCTAAATCAGGAACAGTGGTTCACGCCTATAATCCCAGTGTTCTCAGAGGCTGAGGAGGGAGAAGCACTTGAGCCCGGGAGTTCCAGACAAGTCTGGGCAACAACGGGAGACCCCAGTTTCTACGAGGGGAAAAAAAAAGTCTTAAAGGAACTATAATTGATAGATTATTATTATTTTTGAGACAGAGTCCCTCTCTGTTGCCAGCTGGAGGGCAGTGGCATGATCTCTGCTCACTGCTAGGTTCAGGTGATTCTCCTGCCTCAGCCTCCCCAGGAGCTGGGACTAGGGGCATGCACCACCACAACCAGCTAATTTTTGTATTTTTAGTAGAGACGGGGTTTTGCCATGTTGGCCAGGCTGATCTTGACCTTTTGACTTCATGATTTGCCTGCCTCACCCTCCCAAAGTACTGGGATTACTGGTGTAAGCCACCACGCCTAGCCCAATTTTCTTAATTCAAAAGAAGCACCTAATTCAAAATCATAAATGTGGTACAAAAACATGATTTCAAAACTGAAACTCTTTAATGTGTTTTTTTCTAATAGCCACCAACAATGGTAACCAAGACATGTCAGCCTGGTTCAATCTATTTGCAGACTTGGATCCACTTTCAAACCCAGATGCTATTGGACATTCAGATGATGAACTTCTTAATGCTTGACTGAAGTTATAATGTCACTTCAACGGCCTTGAGACATCAATTTTGCGACATATTTCCTTTGTGGAAAGGAGTTTATATTGTAACCCACACACAAAAGCATGGTGTTTCTGAATATAACACCTGTCAGCCAACTTTAGACAGATGGTAAAGACCACGTTTGAATAGGTTAAGTACATCTTTCATATTTTGGATTTGCAGTTGTTAGTACTATGTGGAAATATTAGAAACTATGGAGTCTGCGATATTTAGATACTGGAATTTATGTCAAAATAATGGCTAGGAATAATTCTGTCAATACAGAGTTGAGCTTATTTCGTTGGAAACCCTTTTAAGTTGCCTTGCTGGCTGTGAGATAAAAATTTTATATGTGGATAAAAAAGATAGCATGTAAATTGGGTAGTAATTTGGGGTCAGTTTTTGAATGACATAGTGGCAGGGAGTATTTTCTGTTTTAGAAAATAGCATTAGAACCAGATCAGCTTTGTTTTGGGTTAGAGAGGTAGAATAAGATTTGAGAACTCAGTTTGCTTTAATGAAATCACAGAGAAACTTGCTACTTGTTTTTTTTTCATTTGGAGGCTAAAATGTAATGTTTTTTTATTCACACAAAATAATGGACACTTCCTAATTCCATTATTAAATCTTCAAGGGGAAGTAGCAGGGTAATTAATTTGCTAAGCCCATCCTCTGTAGAAACAGAAAAACCTATCTTCCCATCTCCTAAACCTCAGAATGCATAGTAATACTTAAGACTTGGGCAAGTGTCTTCAGACCCACTCTTTCATATACTCGCTATATATTATGCTATTATGCAGTATTTATATTATTCCTGAAAATAAAATGGAGGGGGGGAGAATATTCCCTAAGCAACTGGCAGTAGTAGTCTGAAATACCTCGAAATTTCTATCTGAATGAGGGAGACACTTATGAACACTTTATCCTTACATATATTTGTCTATTTTGTGACATAATTTAACCCAGAATACTTTCTGGCAGAGATACAGAAAGCTGTGTGTGATCAATAAGGGAGTGTCTCATTTTTCTACTTCCCTCTTTCTGTGGGTGACATCATATGAGGCTCTATTTGATTGATTATTAAGCAAAATCTGTTACCCCTACAGGGTTTAGAACCTAAGAATTAGAGGGGAAGGCTATTTAATGGAAGTTAGTGTAAGCCGATAAAAACATAGCTACTGTACACACACGTCAATCACTCACTTTCCTGTCCTTTTTCTTAGCCACCCTTTAATTTTGAAGCAGTTTCCCAAGTGTTTTATGTTTGTCATCCAGTCCATTGCATTTCCATAAGACGACGTTTTGACTAAGTTATTCGTGGTAGTTTGCATGTGTTCTTAGTCCTATTCTAAACATGCTTACTTAGTGATGTTCAAGTCATGGTATGTATAAAACATTGGACCAGAGTAGGTAAAACACAGTCCAACTCCCATTCACAGTCATCTACCATAGTAACTTCCCACAAGCTCTAAATGGCCAAGGACTGTATAGGCTGGAACGACCTTATCTGAGGGTCAGAAATACCAACTCAGAAAAAAGGTATTAAGTCTTTTCTTAAATCTTTTCACAATATTGTTCCTATTTCTTTGATTTTAATGAGTCATTATTTATCTCTTCAGAAGCACTGTCTTCCTTTATAATCAGTTAGATTTCCCAGAATGCAATACTGTCATTATTCTGCCAAGTTTCAATAGAAAGATCATGATTATGAATCCCAATCTGAATTCTATACCCATGGTGACTCTGGTGCTCTCAACTTTTGAGTGCCTAAAAAAATGCTAACTTTATGTCTTGAGAGTTTGTACCATTTTTCTTTGCAGTGGTCGCCATGCTAATGCATTAGTTCTGAGATATTCGTTTATCTCCCTCACATGCATGCAAGGCAGTCCCTATTCTCTGATACAGACAGACACTATAAGCAGGAAAAGCAGAAGCCCAAAGTCCACACTAGGAACACCCTCAGTTTTCCAAAAGCAGAGTTTCTCCCCAAGTGGAGACTTTTATTATTCAGTTACTAGTTTCTGTAACATTTCTTCTTTCAACAGAGTATATGTTTTCCATTTAACCCAGAGCAACATTAAGTTCCTTAGCAAGTCGTTGTAACTTCCAACAAGTCTAACCATTTTTGAAGAGCATATCAATAACTTTAAGATAAAGGTAACCATATTCATATTTTCTCAAGATTAGTTATTTGAAGCTCAGCAATTTTGTGGTCAGAAAGAAATTTTGCTCTATTAAACCAACATTGCTAATATAAAAAACCACCACACTGAAGAAAGGAGGGAAAGGATGGATAAGCACAGAATACAGAATGACTGGTTGCTTTTCGTTTCAATCTAGATAATCCATTCAATAAGAAGTAAATTAATTATCCTTAACCAATGGCAGGCTGAGAACAACCCTCAATATAGGTATTTTAAATGGGGAGAAATACCTGTACTTACTTTATATTGGATAAGAATGTGTTTGAGCTTAAAAAACACTGGATGAGCTAAACTTTGCCTAATGTATCTACAACCATGTTTTGGGAGAGGCAGGAATACCAGGGCATAAGATCAGATTGGTGTAATTTTGTATTTTTTTGAAATCCTTCATTAAATTGTAGAACATCAATATGATTAGAAACAAACTGTATTTAAACAAAACAGGTTTCAGTATTTGCATATTGAAAGTGTTTTGTATTTCAACTATAAATATTTCATGTATCTGTATAGACCATCTAGAAATGTAGAGGTCTTACAGCATTAGAATGAAGGAAGTTTAAATGTGCTCTTTCTATTTTTCTGAGCCTCTTTTAATAAAGATTGCAAGATGGGATAAAACAAAAGTTTGTTTCCTGAAGAGTTTAATACAAATATAATTATTGTTTTCCTATTCAAAAACTTGAGTTTTACCTCAAGATCACAATATTAGGAAACTACATTGAACTGATGATATGGTGGGCATGGGAGAATGAAAAAACTAGGGCAATTAATATCCGTCTAAGGCCAAGTGTGGTGGCTCATACTTGTAATCCCAGCACTTTGGGAGGCCAAGGAGGGCATATCACTTGAAGTCAGGAGTTTGAGACCACCCTGACCAACATAGTGAAACCCTGTCTGTACTAAAAATATAAAAATTAGCCACGCGTGGTGATGGATGCCTGTAATCCCAGCTACTTGGGAAGCTGCGGCAGGAGAATCACTTGAACCCAGGAGGTAGAGGTTGCAGTGAAGCAAGATCAGGCCACTGCATTCCAGCCTGGGTGACAGAGTGAGATTCTTGTCTTCAAAAAATAAATAAATAAAATCCTTGTGAGACTAATTCCTTCTAATTTATTTCACATAAAAGGGGTCTATGTAAGATATAGGAAATTACATAATGTATGTTATTTCTGTAAGTACTTTCAGTAACAAAAACTATAGAATATCAAAAATCTGAGCCTAGACACAAATATAAGCCACAGTATGTAATCTTACTTATTGAAGGCAGGAGTAAAAAGTGCCAGAATTGAGTCAGTTATTTTTGTCTTCCATAGTGTTGGCAGGGCCCTGCATTTTTCTATCTTAAGCAATGAAGCAGTCCCAGAATTTCAGAATATAGAAATTAGGAAGGAAAAATCACCTTTAAAATATTAATTCAACAGAACTGAAAGCAACAGTAAAGTGTTAAAACATGGCAAACCCTGTGGGACAAGATGAGAAGAAAAATGGTTGGTCAGGATGGGTCACATCCAGATGACCAACAGAAACTATTTTTCCATCTTTTCTGTACCATTTAAAAGACTACTGAAGAGTTCAAAACAAACTGTCCTTGGCATTTAAAGTCAAGCCATGGTTCTTCACTCAGTGGTGTAGTAAATAACCACTATTGGCCAAAAAGTAAATACAAAAAGGAGATGAAGTTCTGACTGGTGTCGTGGGTGAGATTTTGCAGTGTATGTTTTTAGATTTGTAGTGTACGTTTTAAACTTCTTGTTTTCTTGCTGCCTCAAAAACTCCATAAACAAGCTGTGAGCACTTGGCCCAGTGTGATGTGGGTAGCCCCTGCCACAAGTCTCTCTTGCTACCTTGTCCTCACCAGGACTTAGTAACATTTAAATGCACCAGTGAAATTCTCACTTTTTCTTGTGTGCTTCTCCCTAATCCGAAGGCTCCTGCTCATGTCTTAGGCCTACTCTGCTCCCCACCTGCTTTGCTGAGCCCCTCCCAGGTGACCCCCTCTCAGCATAAAGTGACTTTCTCTCTAGGACCTGTGAGTATAATACAACTTGTTTTCCGGTGTCTCTCCTGTGATATCTCTTGTGGCTACACCTCACTGACAATCACCTAAAAAAAAACACACACAAAAAAAAAAACATGAAAAAGTTGTTTCTTTTTTCCCCATTTTAAAGCAGCATCTTCTAGAAGAAAAAAAATCAGCCATAGCATATCTAGGAATATCCACTATTAACATATTTTTGCTTATTTTTTTTGTAGTGCCTTTAAGCACACACTTGAATTGTGATCCAGATGATTTTACTGTCCTCTCTCTCGAACTCTGAACCTCAGGTGATCTACCCACCTTGGCCTCCCAAAGTGCTGGGATTAAAGGTGTGAGCCACTGCACCCGGCTCTGTCCTCTCTCTCTAAAATGGGCATACCAAGTCACAGATTTAAAAACAGCTCTCTAAGTCTTTCTCTCAACAAGGCCAGGTGAATTAAAAAATCTGTCAGAAATGTGACTGAAGTTAGTTTTTGCCTCCCTAAAAGATGTGCTCCCCCAATTTTTTTGTGCTCCCCAAATTAAATAAAGTATTTCTTTTTATTTTCTGCAGCTATAGCAACATTAAAAACCTGAGAGTTTAAGAATGTCTGTCACTAACGTCCTTGGTTCGGAGCTGAATAACTAACCAGCTCCTTTCTTTTGACCCTCTGAACTAAGCTGTCAGCAGCTGTAGCAATGAAGAGGATCACAAAGAAAACAAGGCAGTGTGGCAAATTCTTCTGTATGCACTTTATAATGAATTTAAGTGACTGCCCCAGCTAAGTTACCTCTAACAAAACTGTGAAGCAGTGAATTGCCCACACACAGCTATCTCTGTGTGCTGCTTATATTTTAACGTGTACTTAGCACTTACCACAAAGAGCAGGTACTTTCAGATCTAGTGCAAGTGAGAGCGACCAAGGAACCTGCTGCTGAACATAAACACATTATTTTTCTATTAGTTTGAGAAAACCAATGTACCACTTAAAAGCCAAAAAAAAAAAAGAAAAGAAAAAGCTAGATAACCAGTCCAAAAATGAATGTAATTTGAATTTGAGACAGTATTCATAAAAATTCACAGAAAAATCTCAAGAAGAACAGACTTTATTTTAAACATAAAAGTTCTATTTTCTTGTGAGGCAACAACAAGTGTTCAGGTCCAGGGAATACATGAGTACAGCGGAACAACACCCATTACCATTGGAAATGCTGTTTTCTGAGATAACTGTTAGAATAACAAAATGTTTTAAATTGTGTTTTAAAAAGATTTACACAGCTTCAACAGAGACAAAAAAATGAAGAGTTAAAAAAATCATATTCTTCAACAAGACTGTATAAACAAAATGCTGTTCAGAGCTGCTCTGCTGATCATCAATTTGGTCAGAGTGAAACTTAAACCTTAAAGTGCAAAGTTCAGCATTCTTAGCTTTATTTTGCAAATTCAACACTTCCACTCTTCTGGTTTTGAGACATCAATATTCCACGCACTAAGGAATGAATCTTAAGTTTACAATAGTAAAGTAAATGCAGCAGTGGCAAATTTTACTTTCCTTCACGAAAGAAAATCTTTATAACCCAGTCCTAGTCTTGGACATAGTGAAAGCTATAAATTTTGTCCTTTTTTTTTTTTTACACTTTTTTCAGTGAAAGCCAACCACTGAAAGCAGAGAAAAAGGACTTTCATCTTGTCTGATATTCCACAGTTAGCACGAGCACCTTCTAAAAGACTGATTTGGCCTGTAGTCATAAGTATTAAGTATAAGAAACATAAAACAAATTGAATAATCTAGTTCAAAAATAATCTTGACATCCATGCTTACCACATATAACCAAAAGAGGCAAAACTGGTATTTTTAAAACATAGTTGCTTACAAAAGCCATGACAAGTAATAGACTTAGTCACGATCAGAAAGAGTAAATTTATGTAATTTTTATCATCACAGAGAAATTGTTTGAGAATTAAAGAAAAAACTAAGATTTGACAAAGTGAAGAACCAAAGAATAGCTCCTTTCTCTGAAAGATACATGCTACCCATTTCTTTTAATGCAATGGAAGTAAATTTTTATAAAATTAAAAAATTTTAAATTATATTCCCATTGAAGCTATTCTATTTACCTTCTGTACAGTTTTCTACAGAATAACAATAACTATGGAGTGTAATTTTAGAAACCAACATTATGCATTCTATTGAGAGTAGTATCACATTTCACTGGAAAGCTGGAGACCCATTAAAAAAAAAAATCAACCACCAGGGAACTAAGGATTAAATAAAAGAGCTGAATGAACCTATGGTTGATATTTTTTCAAGACTGTGATAAAGCTTACATGCTTAAAAATTAGCCCTTTGGCACTGGCAGTTAGAGTTGTTTTGTACCTTGTACCTTTTTTTCAAATCTCAAGCTCTATTTCTCCCAAACCCCAGGGATCTGTCTGGTTGCCATACAATTCATTTACCTGCAAATTCACTTTCTCCTTACAACCAAACATTAAACTAGACATTCTATTTATGAGACTGTAAATAATTCTGAAACTTGTTCTTCCATTCCAATTTTAAGTTGCTTTAAAGATATATGAAACTCCACAGAAAGAGATGAATTAGACAAATACGCACAACAGAGCAAAACGGAAAACCTCTTTACAGAGTGGCATTCTAGTTCTAAAATGCCACTGTCACTAGCAGAGATGGAGATGGAAGAGGAAGGAAGTGCAAGGCCAAGAACACAGACTGAATAAAATTCAAGTAATCAAAAAACTGAGGGTTCTTTTTAAATAACTGTTTTTAACTTCCTCTACCCCCCATTCTGATTTCAGTTTTACCTTTTCTTCTGAACTCTGATACAGCAGAAACTCAGTGGTGATAGTCGTTATAATGCATAAGAAAGAAGGCAAAAGATCAAGGCTTGCAGTGAGAAAATGTAGAGTCCAAACTGAGCTTTTAATAACTGAGAAGCCATAACATACTTGTTCCAAATAGTTTTTTGGATGGAGAAGGTACCAAAGTTCACCAGTCCTACCATCTAAAACCTGACAGATTTATTCAGATGTTTGAATTTATCCGATTTACCTCAATACGTCTCAATTTAAAACTCAACAGGGATTATTTTAAATTACTTAGATGTTTTAAAGGTACATGAATATAAGAAGTCCTTTCAGAAGATTTATTGCTACCCACTAGGTTTTCCTTGATAGAGTATGTCTGGATAAGCTGACATATTAATCTTCTAAACTGAATCCTTTTTATAAGGATTTAAAAACTTCTTTCTACCTATATAATATGTATACAAACAGTAAATTATTGCATCATAAGGTAGTATATGAAGATATTAAAAGGATGCTTTTATTCAATAGTTTGCTGAAACTTACTTTTAAAAAGAGTGGCCAGGTGCGGTAGCTCACACCTGTAATCTCAGCACTTTGGGAGGGTGAGGCAAGCAGATCACCTGAGGTCAGGAGTTCAAGACTAGCCTGACCAACACAGTAAAATTCCGTCTCTACTAAAAATACAAAAATTAGCTGGGCATGGTGGCACATGCCTGTAATCCCAGCTACTTGGGAGGCTGAGGCAGGAGAATTAATTGAACCTGGGAGGCAGAGGTTGCAGT